CCTATTGAATTTGCATAAAAAAAATCATCAAAATCGGTCAAGCCGTTTCGGAAGAATATGGTAACAAAAACTATTCAAAAACAACCCCTAATAAAAAATATGGGTTGATGGTGGAAGGATGGAAATTTAGGGTTGTATGTATTTTGTAATGCCACAATCATAAAAGCAAAATAAAAACACTAAATCACCACAATACACCAAAACACTTTTACTTTTACACTGGACGCGCGTTTCGCTAACCATGTTAGCATCATCAGCAGATGATTATAAACATTTTTTTAGTTTATAGTCATCATAGAGTTTATAATCATCTGCTGATGATGCTAACATGGTTAGCGAAACGCGCGTCCAGTGTAAAAGTAAAAGTGTTTTGGTGTATTGTGGTGATTTAGTGTTTTTATTTTGCTGTTTAACACCAAAGGTTCCAACCCTCAACTGTAACAATCATAAAAAATAAAAATAAAAAATTTTGTCAAAAAAAAATTAAAAATGGGGTGGGCCACCCTTATTAAAGGGTATAAAAAATAGATAACAACCTCTTACCTTCTATATTTAAACATTTTTACTACTTCCAATAAGCAAGATTGTAAGGTATCGCACAAAATATCTCCAACACCCTGTACATAAATAAAGTAATTATCAAAAACCGCGCCTATGAATATTAGCCTCAAACAAAATTTCTTCCAGCAGTGGTTTACACGGTAAAATTCTATTTTGAGGTTATCCAGTTGAAAAATTCCTTAACGCACGCAATGAGGCGATTTTGCATAGACTTCTGTTTCATAATATGATTTGATGAAATTGATACAGCTTTTACATGCTTGATAAATGGGACTAGCTAACGTAATACATTATTTAACTATGTATTGTAAGTTTTTCAAGCATTTTACGTTATTATACAAAGAATTTTACCAGCAAAAAAGATATTACCATTTTTTTTTGAATTTTAATATACCTACAATATTTCAAAAGGAGTCAATGCCATGTTTTCAGCTTAAAATTTTATTTATTTTTTTACAAAATATGTATATAACTGTATCATAATTTATTATTTCAGCTAAAAAAATATTTTAAGATAAGTTCAACTACGGTAGAGAGCATAGTTTTACACACCGGTTTTGTTAGTAGGGTCATAACTGCGGCTTTTTCTGCTATAACGAAATTTTTTAAAGGTACATACATAATTATAATTTTAGAAGATGTTCATAAAACATTTAAGCACTAGTTGATTAAAAATAGTATACCATTAATATTGCAAATTATGTTATTTTTTCCTTTCATAGTATATTCCTATTTAATTTTTTGATTATGTAATGAGCTCTTTGTTTACTCACTTGTTTTGTCGAACTGCTTGAATCCAGTTTTGCTTTTTATCAAATCGGTGTGAGAAGCTGTAAAGCTATACAGTGTTGTTTCGGGAGAGTTGAATATCCGGAAAAGTTGAGTTATTGAATGTTCTTGCACTCAACAACTCTAACCCTAATCAGCAGTCCTTTACGCGTTAACATTTTTTCGGCAATTTTATTACCATTTGAAATTGTCACAACACAACATGACGCAAAGCCTATAGTTCGTGCTCCTTTTCAGTTAATTTTTACTACGCGAAACAGCGTAGTAACACAAACCTAGTAGCTGAGTGTTTTATAGTTTTAATAACTGCACCAGTAAAAAATCAAATACTGAAATATTATGACAAAGCCGCGATTTTAGTATTATTTCAATGCGATCGACATAAACGGCAACGGGACTGCGTGAAATATTTTATACCCAGCACTTCTAGTTTCTGCCGTATTGAGCGCTGCGGTTGGATTTTTAAATTTACACTCGGGACCACTGGACATGTCGGCTTATAGGGAAATAAACGTGACTCCCTCGCCAAAATAGGTGCAGGGTTGCCATTCATTTGTCCAGACTGGCGCCATACAGGTCGCAGTGTTTCCGGAATAGGACGGTCTCTTAATATTAAGAAAAAAAGTGATTCTTTTAAACTTCACCATATTTATAACAAAATTGTACACACATTTAACAATACGTAATGTTACTATTTTATCAAGAAAGTGTTTAATCTCCAAAGTGACTTTTAATTATCTTCTTCAATATTTTAGAAATATAATTATGAGGCTATTATCCGACTGAACCACTTAAGTCCTTTAATAAAGTTTTAAGTTCTCTTCGAAAATTCTTTTGTGGAATTTAAGTGATTTAAATATTTAAATAAGTCGCTCGCGTAAGGCAGGTAAAGTTTAAAACAAACCTTATTAAATAAACACTTCCAATCCAGAGTTTCGTTCGTTCTTTTATACAGGGTGTTCTAATATTCCGTGGACGTAGAATTACTACGTATTTTTGAAATCAACATAAGTTCATTGGACATAATTTACCTCTATACAACAATACTTCGTTTGTCGGCTAGAGGACATGAAACATTAAAAAAAAGAAACACTTTTTTTCAGTTATTTTGAAAACCGTTATTCCGATTTGAATTATATGATGGGTGTCTATGTTTTGCTAACTGCTTTAACATTAGAATTTCACAAAAAAAAACAAGAAAAAGTACGGGAAGAGTGAAAACTACCCCTACCCCAACATAAATTTTTGTATAAATATTTTCCAACTCAACCAACGACCGTTTTTTTTTGTAATATGGTCCTTCTAGTATTTACTAAATTTTTTGTCTCTTGTAAAAAACGCCAACGCGCATATTTCTTGAGGAAAATAATTATTTTTCCAAAGCTGACTTTCAAAAAATGTTTTTTGTCACAACGAGCTATGGAGGCGCATAAAATCTATTATGCTCTAATAATCTAGTTGGGGAAAATATGGAATTTTATGGTAGTATCACAAATAATATTTGACTATAAGCTTCATAAAAAAATTTAAAAAATTAATAAATTAATTAGAATTCGGGTTTATTTTTGTTTGATTCTCTCTAACTGACAAACGAAGCACCTTTGTATAAAGGTAAATTATGTTCAATTAATTTATTTTGATTCAAAAAATACGTAGTTATTCTATGTCCACGGAATATTAGAACTCCCTGTATATTTCGTAAGTCTGCTTTAGAAAAATAAATTCTCAAAATAATATTTCTCAAAAACCATGCGATGTGACGATTATTATTTTATTAAGATGTGAAATTTTCTAAAAATTCCTTTTTCTTATTTGACATAGCAGTCGCGTACTCTAGCGGTCATTCTAAAAACTTAATACTTACTTATAATTTCCAGCAATTACTCATAGCATCTAGTTATAAATATTTTTTTCGCAGACTCTACGGTAAATACTTTCGGAGATACAGCCGAGAGCTATTTTCAGTGGAACACTTGTTATACATATATTGCGCATTCTTAATCTTGAGCGCAGTCTTTAAAAGTCTCAACCTAACTCCAGAAATAAAGATTCTCCTGTATGGCGTAGAGACTTGGGCCTAAAAGGAGATACACCAATATCAAAACTCTAAGCCTTCGAACTCTGGCTGTACAGGAGAATCCTGAGAATACCGTAGACTGAGACTACCGTAGAAGGTCACAACCGTCAAGGTCCTGAGACGAATGAAAACAACGGCGAGTTCATCAACATCGTTAAATGTCATGAGCTGTAATATGTAGGCCACGTAATGAGGTACCAAAGGTACCTCCAGTGCATCCTCAAAGACAAGATCCAGCCAAAACGACGTCCAGGACGCAAGAGAATTGCCTGGCTACAGATCCTGGTTTGGAACGACAGCCGCTCAGGTTTTCAGGATTGCTACTAACAAAATCATTATAACCAGAATGATCGTCAACCTAAGAAGAAGAAGGCGTTGTAGAAAAAATAAATAAATAATCAAAGAAGATATCTAAATAACAGACACCTACTACAGATTAAAAATAAAGTATGTTTAATAAAAACACTGAACAACCAAATTCGAGTTTGATGCCGAACTAATTTATAAACAATTTCATTGTTTTATTTTTCTTCAATTAACCCTTCATTACCCTGACGAAATACCTCGTAAAACAACCTGTTCCAATTAAGTTGGCATTTAAAATGAAGGGCACAACGGAGGTGGAAGGAGGTTAGAAAAGTAAGGGAGGTTAATTTTAGTTCCTAATTAATTTCATGTTATACTATAAACTTTGTTTCAGTTTTCGTACGATGAACAATTTCCCGAGAAAGCAGCGCGAATTTTACATTTTATTATCTGATTAATTTTGGAAGCAGTTAGAAAGTAGAATTAGAGTATTTCTGAAATAAAAGGGATTTATTTGAGTTCTGATTAGAAATGGCTTAACATAAATCCACTGTTTTTAATGTTAATCACTTTGTTATTAAAATAATTAAAAAAAAAATTTTAATTTCAGAACATTTCTTGTATTTTTAATAACTTTTTAAAAAAACGCCGAAAACACTCCTTTTTTATCTACTTATTAATATTTTTGAAACTATCGAACCGTATTTAATAATACACTAGTATTATGTGAAATGATCAGAAGGGAAGTCAAAACTGCAATAATATACACGATGTTCAAAAAAATTATCCCAAGTTAAAATATTTTCATAAAATACATCCTATTCCTAAGTTTCTTTTAATTCCTAAGTTTTTTATTATAGATGCCCGACACACTGTTGCCAGGCCCGTAGGAAACATTTTGAAACGTGGCAACCCCCATGTGCGGCAACTTTTTGATAGGTACCCTTATAACATCATTCACAGAATAAAAATAGCTTTAAATTGACATATGATCAAAAAAAAATTATGAGCGTAATGTCGTCTCCAAAATCAGTTAATATTATTATTAGTAAAACATAGTTGCGGCAAATTTTTGACAGGCACCCTGTTAAAAGTGTATTTCTCCTATTCACAAATATACGTAATCAGTAGGTTTTAATTAAAAATACGATGAGCGTAATAATCCTGCAGCCGTATCCTGTACTATTAGCATTTCCTAGTAACCGTTAAGATTTTCTGGATTTGCGACTCTCACAGCTAACATATAAATAATATTAAGTAATATTACCTCGGGTTGGGTCTCTCCATGGACGATGCAAACCAGCTGTGCCTCGTAGCCCTCGGCAGAATGAACTACTGGATTCTCCACGGAAATCTCGGGCGGGTCTGCAAAGAAAAATAAAAGTAATTTTTGATATTCCATTATTCTCTTTTCATATTCCTCTTCCTACTCTAATTCTCTTGGTAGTGTAAGGGCAAATTAAAATGTTTCTTGTTTAACAAGAGTAAGTCATGTCAGGGGCGGGGGTAGTTTTCACCTTTCCCGTGGTTTTTCTTGTTTTATTGTGAGTCAAATGTTAAAGTACTTTACATAGTTACCCAAAATCTCATTCAAATCGGAATAACGGTTCTTAAAATATCTGACAAAAATGCGTTTATTTTTTTTCAAGTTTGATGCCCTCTAGCGGACAAACGAAGCACTTTTGTAAAGGGGTACATTGTGTCCAATGAACTTAATATTAGGACATCCTCTATACAAGATGGTCCGAACTGTATTCCGGAAACTTTGGCAGCATATTCTGCAGTTAAAAATAAATAAAAAAGTTCGAATAAATGTATGTCCTAAAATGCTTTTAAAGTTTCGGAAATACAGGGTGTAGAAGTATCATTTGAAAAGTATCATTTCATTGTTGAAAGGATGGAGTACAATAGAACAGCAAAATAGACGTGAATACAAATACCCAATACACCCAGACTACCCGGAAGGCCACCAAAAAAATGGTACGAAAGTTGGACATCCGGTTCACAACAGTTTTAAATAGTTGTTTTATACAAGGATACCCCTATCACAAAAAAAGAAAAAATAGACTTCAATTTGTTGAAAACTAAATGAGCAGAATTACTAATAGTGATCTATAAAAAAAATATCAAAATAAATCAAGAAACTGGTTAACGTAACCAAAAAAGTTATGAACATTTTTTGTCACAATCTTTCTATTCAACACATTTTATCATACATATTAAATTAAAAAAGCTTTCTCGTCATTTTAACAAAGATATAATGCCACGCAGACACAATATTCTTACAGAAAACGGGTAATAAAAGGACGTGACATAACATTAAGGAGAATTTTCTTTTATGGTGCAGTCTAGTCTAGACGATCTTTCCATATTCTATCCCGCAAAACTGGAAATTTTCTTGTTTGGTCTGTAACCAAACGAATTTTACTGAGCGGGTAAAGAAATTCGGACAAAGTTGTTTTAAATGAGAAAATCGAAAGAATGGAATGGAACTGTGTCTGATAGCCCCAGGTTGCAAAAGCGGATAGGAAATCGATAGAATTGTTTTCGGTAAAATTCTTAAAATTTTTAATAAATCTCAAAATTCCTTTTTCAATATTTTGTATTTCACCTTTGAAATTAGTTGCAGTATAGAGTAAAAAATTATATTTTTTATTTATATAGATTTTGACAAAAATCTACCGAACGCCGCACAACTATCTATTTTACAATCTTTTTCTGTTAATTTATGTTCTACCCAGGGTTCGGAAAATTACATGTCACTCGTAAAAACTACATAAACTACATTACGTGTAGTTAATTGACGTAGATGGTGTAGTTTATAATAAATATCCAAACGATAAAATATCCAAACCAAACCTTCAAATACCAAAGGTTTGTAATAAGTTGAAGCTTTAGAAAAGAGAAGAAATATAGTTTTAAATACAGCATTGCTATCAAATTATTTACAACCCTCATACAGAGGAAAGTTATTAGCTGATAACCATATTATAAGTCAGGTTGAAAAATATACTTTCTATAAAGTTCTGACAAAGATTATTACTGACTAGGTAATTAAAATTTTATAAGATATTTTATATTTGTACTTTTGTGTTACCAAAATGTTTTTTGAGTTTTCGTATTTTATAATAATTTTAAATTTATTGTATTATACATTATATTCTACATTTTTTATGAATTGATAAATCTTTAATTAAATAAAAAAACATATTTCAATCAAAATTAACATTTTTTTTATAGGCTTGTTTTGCTATCGTAATAACAATATGTAGTTTATAAAAGTAGTTTTCATGTAGTGAATGAACGGGAAAAGATGTACTTTTTGAAGGAAAACTACACGTAGCTTATCAGGTAAATTACGTCATAATTAATTAATTCCGCACCTTGCTTCTGACGCAATACCATTCTAGATTTACTACCTCTCAACAGAACCAAACTTTATATAAAAAAGATAAAACTTTATATGAAACAACTCCATCGTACAGTAGATCATACTGTATATTTTTCATAATACTCCTGTAATTCTATTAGAAAATATGTCACGTTTTTAAATCCATGTAAAAAACAAAGAAAAAAAACTATTTTTACACGAAGATATGCCTGGTCTGTTGCTAACACGCTATGTGCCCAACACGGAGAAGAATTGACATTGTAAGAGACGCTATTGTTCGTTTAGAAAATCAAAGAACGGCGGGATATGCGAAATTCATTAAAATAGGCAAAACATATCCGCTTGTCACCGGCTTTTATATTCCGATTATAATTACATGGAATGATTATATTGTCAAACACAGGTATAGATTTTCCGATTCAATTCTACAGCGCCAACCTGCGTTTGACGACACGCCGAGATAAAACTATGGTTGTTCTGTAGCGGTAAAATTATAAACGCTTATCACAATTGTGCTCATTTTAAAAACTACTCAAAATAATTATCGCATATTTTTTAAAAGAAATATTAATTTAAAAAACAAGACACTTTGAATTATCTGAATTATGCTTTAAATAGTTGGATACAGTAACGCAAAATATTTGAAACAATATGCCTGATATAAATGTTTGTAAGAAAATTCAATTCAATTTAACAAATATTCAAAAACGGAGAATAATGCCCACGCAAATTATGAAATTTTTATCATATTTTCTTTTACTTGGAGACATTTATTATTAGCCTTAAATATTAAATTAAATAAAGCGTTCGCGTAAAATATTTAAAAATATAATACCGTAGAAACATAATATTCTTATAAAATATTTTATAAAGACAACGTGACATAAACATCATTAAAAAATATATTTTATACTATAATTTTTTAGTCTAGACAATTCTTCTAAAGTTTCTAACTAAAAAAATACAATTTTTATTCACGACTGTTTCTATTTTCTTGCACCAAAATTTAGAAAAAGTCTGGAAGTAATATATTCCATATATTTCATATTTTTTGATATGATATATTAAATTCACAAAAATAAAATTATCAAGCTTTATCTTTATCCCGATTTTTCATCTATATTTTCCAAACTGACATTCTTATGCATATCTAGGACTCGCATCTTTTTATTTATAGTTGCTTTTGGACTCATCTATCAAATTTAGACGTCAAGATAACATATTTTCTAAATTTTTGTTCAAAACATAATCATAATCTTAAATCCTATAGACATTTTTACTCGCATAATTGATTAGATTATATTTATATAGTTATACAAAACATATTGTGTGGTTCTCTGAATAAAAGTTTGATAAAAGTATGTAAATTTACATTCAGATGAGAAAGTAACAAAAAATATATGCTTAATCAATTACCTATCATTTATATTATTTATATCTGTGATTTATGGTATATGTATTATTTACATATTATTTAAAGTGAGCATATCAATATTATACATGTTTATTTTTATGATAATTATATTGATTTGGCATCCGCACAGCACCATAATTATGAAAGAACAATCTACTATCTCAGTTACTATATTGACAGTTATTTAAGGCGCACGCTGTACAGTATGATGATAAACAAATTAATAATCTGAAAAATAGGGTTTAAATCCCCGCGATCTCTTCCATATATTCTTCTTCCTCCCTCCAAATTGCCTGGGTCTCTTGCTCGTTACCTCGGGCACCTGCAGTCGTAAAATTACTACAGCGCCTCCTGTCGGACTAAGAGGTCCACAGAGAGACAAAAGAATGTCTGTGCGAGAGCAGATAAGTCCCGACGAGTCGGCGCCTAATAAAGCAATAGTGTACCTGAGGGAACACGGGCGTTCAGTTTCCTTCAGGCGATAGCCCATTCGTCAAAATAACAAGAATATCTCTGAAATATAGCTTCTCGAAAAAAGAAAAACGTATAAGAGCTTTGAAAAAGCTTTAATTAAATGTTTTTATATTTATGAAATCTTGGTAAAGTCGAAATTTATTTTTGTAAAATTAAAAAGAAAACAAGTATGAACAGTCCTCAGACACGCAGACTTTTTTTGATAATTTAATTACAGGCAATATATAAAAGCGTCAAAATAAATAAATGTAAATTAAAAATAAACAGAGATAATGGTCCAATTAGTCAAAAAAGTACTCACATTATTTAACTTTTGGTTTGTTTTACCAAGTTGTCAATTTTGTATTAATATTAAAACTTTATCAAAGAATCTATTTTAAAATGTCTTTACAATTTATTAATAATATATTAAAAAACTAAAATCTCAAATAATAAGAGAAATATAAAGAAACTAAAACTATCTTTCATTTATCAGTCATTATGTTTTCTTTCGTTAAAAACATCGTAAAGCAGAATAATTACCTCTATTCTCCGACTGAAAAATAAGAAAGCAGTTTCCGCAGTCTATTATCTGACGACAGGTTTGTCGTTTTATCACCTTGCCACTCGAGAAAACCCCATTTTCCCTGAGCTGCATCCCAGTCTGTTGCAACCTCGATTGAAATTTGTCTTTTTATTATGAAAGAAAAGCACTTGAGACACGGCGCATTTTTTGTTTCCTTCTTTTTTATTTCAATTGTTCTCTTGTTTAGTTTAGACAAAAGGTGAATCGTAGCCACAGAAATTATGTAATAAAATTAAGTTCTAATTTTAGATAAAATATAAATCGTAAACAGAGAAATTATGAAACAAAGTTTATAGTAACTATCTGATACAGCTAACTTTGTACCGCTCTACAGTGAAATGAAGTGAAATAAGATTCATTTCTCTAAACATTAGTATTTGATCTGTTGTACAGGGTTAATCGAAGAGTAGTTTTTTACCGTGTCTTTAGAACGACCTGGTGACCTAAAAAAATATTTTTCGGTCACAATCTCCTGAGCATTTTGATTTTGGCTCATGTCAACATAATATGCCTTGGTTAAT